CGCGATACAGCTTAGCACGCTGCCAAGGCCACGCGCGACACTTTGCCACTACAAGTCCCAGCGCTGTCCTTGAGCTTCAACAGCAACGTCAGCATTTCCATAAACCCCGTTCTGCTGTTTAGGAAACGCAGACCCAGAGGGCGTGTGGCTTGCTGGAGGTCACACAGCAAAGCACCGCTTCAGCAGCTCCACGTTTCTGTCTCCTCTAGCTTGCTAACCCAGCCCACAGACACTATTTTAGGAGTTACTTTCCTCAAGTTGCCAACAATCGCTTACAAGAACGGAATTTCTAGCAAAAAGAAATTTTAAAAATCTTAACTATAAAACTATACTGCTACAGTTTTGTGACTACAACTCTGCAGACACAGGTGGCTGACAGAAGAGCAGCTCGTGACAGCACCGTGTCCTGCTCCAGAACAGCAGCTTCCCACACGCAATCACCAAACCCCTTTGAGCCCGCTCACCTCAAAGGTTGCTCGGGGACAGGGCTTTAAAGGGAGGTTCGACCCGATCCTCCTGACCACGCTGCGCGCTGAGCCATGGGGCTTGTTCTGCCAGATGGGGATCGTCTGCAAGAAGCCATGTGATATGATCAATACTTCAAATCAGTTGCCTTTCTTAAAATTTATTAACTTGGAAATTGTCCTGTACAATCTAGTTAAGAGCTCTGATTTCTGACTTTTTATTTCTTGAGTGAGACTTTTAATTGGGAACCTGCTAATAACTGAAGTCCTCATTCCCTAGAACCGTGTTTCAGCTGAACACACGTGAAAGCCAGCCGGTTACTAAGGGACATTTGAAATGTAGGTGTAGTATTTTCACGGCCGCAAACTAAAAGCAGTCAGTAACAGACACGGAGCTCCAAATGCAAATACACCAAAGGGAGGAAAACAGCATCACGTGAGGGGCCCAGAAGGAAAATCAAATCAGAAGAAAGTCTCATTTAAAGGAACACTCGCGCTGCCACATGATTTTTAATACAGGCAGCACTGACAAGACTGTGGACATTTCTCGGGTGACGGCGAAGTGACAAGCGCCTGCCATGCCCGTCCCCACCGAGCGCCGACGAGAAGAGCCCTGGAGGGTGTTTCACAAAGAGCAGATGCGTTGGTGACCTCTGGACACGTCTAAAACAGACTTCAGCGGTGACGAGCTCTGTCCTTGACCGCCTTCCCCTCTGCCAGCTCTATGGCCACCACAGGCTCTTGTGGCAGGAGGCAGCAAGAGACTCCAAGGCGACAAACTGCGGAGTGCAGGGTCCTGCACCTGGGGAGGAACAGCCGAATGCACCAGTACAGGCTGGGGCGGAGCTGCTGGAGAGCAGCTCTGTGGAGAGGGACTGGGAGTGCTGGGGGACGACAGGCTGACCATGAGCCAGCAGCGTGCCCTGGGTGCCAAGAAGGCCAATAGTCTCCTGGGGTGCATTAGGAGGAGAGTGGCCAGCAGGGCGAGGGAGGTTCTCCTGCCCCTCTGCTCTGCCCTGGGGAGGCCCCATCTGCAGCACTGTATCCAGTTCTGGGCTCCCCAGCTCAGGAAAGATGAGGAGCTGCTGGAGAGAATCCAGCGGAGGGCTGCGAGGATGAGGAGGGGACTGGAGCATCTCTCCTACGAGGAGAGGCTGAGGCTTGTTTAGCCTGGAGAAGGCTGCGAGGGGACCTAATAAATGCTGATCAATATCTGCAGGGTGGGGGTCAGGAGGATGGGGCCAGGCTCTTTCCAGTGGTGCCCAGCGACAGGACAAGGGGCAACGGGCACAAACTGAAGCAGAGGAAGCTCCAGCTGAACCCGAGGAAGAACTTCTTCCCTCTGAGGGTGACGGAGCCCTGGCCCAGGCTGCCCAGGGAGGCTGTGGAGTCTCCTTCTCTGGAGATATTCCAGCCCCGCCTGGCCGCGGTGCTGTGCAGCCTGCTCTGGGTGACCCTGCTTGGGCAGGGGGTTGG